GACATAACGGACGCGCCTGGGCCTCCCCATATCCATCCTAGATATGGGTTGGATATGAGGTGTGCCGGTCAGGAACGATTTTGTGATCGATCACTAACCAGGCCGTCCGCGGACGCGTTTGAGGAGCCCGGTTGTAGATGCTCTTAAGGCATCCTCCGTTCTGCCAAAGGATGCGAACGACATCTTGAAGACGCCAAAATGCTGGTGGCCTTGCTCTCCTCAATCGTACGAGGTGGGCAGATCGCCGGGGCCCACCAGCTTGTCTCCAGCGGCTGCACTCTCCGCGTCTTCCTTGTCGGCATCCGTGCCGATTGGCTGGCGTCTTCAATACGTGCCAGATGAATACCATGGCAGTCTAGACGCTTGGCGAGGGAGTCAAGCAGGCCATCATGGCTGTCCAAACGAGCAATGGTGTCGTCAAGACGTTGGTTCGTCGAAGCTATCAACTGCTTGGTGGTCTCCGTGTTTGCCTTGGTGTCCTTCATGAGCTGCATGAGCTCTTGTTTCCAAGCATCGTCACTGTCGTTTGTTGTTGGTCCCCGTGGAAGAAGGAACGGCTGGCTCTGAAACCAAAATGTCACAACTTGATTTGTGGGAACGCAATCTGTAGAGGATTAGATTAGGACCAATACCAAAATGTCACAACTTGATTTGTGGGAACGCAATCTGTAGAGGATTAGGTTAGGACCAATACAGGAACACTTTGGAGCCGTGGAAGGGAAGATGCAGCTGGGGCTGGAGGCCCTAGGTGCAGATGTTGTGCGTGGCTACCTCATATAGAGAGAGGATCTGCCTTACAAACCGACTCTGAGCTCTGACTCCATGTCTAATACGAACGAAACTATGGTCTATTCTATACGGACTAACCTGTAGCTTTCCTATCAATAGTAATTCCACCTAAGGACTCTGCTTGCAGTAGCAATCCCCCCATCAATAGGAATTCTTCCTGATGATGCGTTCCCCTAATCTGGAGGATTACCAAGAGCGGTTCCATCTTGTATTGGTGTTATCTCTGAACTAGACTGTGGAGGCGCCGGGTGGCAACCACGACGCTTATATGTCTGCCCCCATGTGACATGTTCAGAAGGTACAAATGCGAAAGAAATACTCACTGGTAGAAGCATGAGTATTCCTATTGGAACGACAGATGCCAAATCTGTCAGGGTTCTCTGAAGAGCCTGCTTCTCCTTCTGAGTTAGTTCCTCCCCAATAAGAGATCTTTTCAGTAAACCCATAGCAGCTCCTGTATCAATTGCTAAGAGCTGTGTCCCTTGCAACACAATCTGTGCAGCACCAAGAAGATGAAATAGACTTTAACCCTTTAATACTATTATTAGTTTAATGCAAGGAATGAAAAGAGGCAACAGCTACTTAGACTATTAGATTCCCTACCAAAATAATCACTCAATTAATACTGTTGTGTGTTGTCAAAATTTATCACCATAGAAAATATTAACACCCTGTGATGCCATCAAGCACCGTTAATGTCAGAAAACAACACAAAATCTGGTAAGAAATGGCCAAATGCACAAGTTGTTTTGAATGTTTGTGGAAGTAACTATGTTACAGGATTTTCTTAAGCAGGATGAATAAAATTCAAATTGTCATACCGTTGTACTCTCCTTAACTTTCTCTACCGATTTTGTAATAACATTTTCTTTCTTGATTACTGAACCAGAAGGCCCTGACAGAGGGGGTGCTGACTCAGAAGGGCTCATTGTTTCATCTGGAACCTCCGTTTCCTGGAACTGAAAACAGGACATGGCTGGATGAATAACTCGTCAAAGCTGAAGAAACTTCTACAATAACAAAGCCAGCCATTATGGTATGGTCATGGTATGTAACAGAACTGCAAATAGAACATGACTGATTGATCGTCATGTCGTTTCCATGGAGGTTGCAGAGTCTCAGGTTCAAGTGTTGGCTCAAATACCAACTGCATTCTCATTTGCTATCTAAAAATATATCTTAAACAAGCATACCTCCTCTTTTTTAGCACCATCTGTACTCTTCTGCACTCTCCTTTCTAACTCAATCAACTCACGTCTCAACTGTTCGAAGCGGCGGATGTCATTTGACTCCATGTCTATTTGATCCACCTTGGCAGCAGAAGCCTTCCACAAATGAAAAGAACAGGGAAATCCTATAAGAAAGTTTAACATGGTGCAAGAAAACATCTTTTGAGATAAAATTGTTGAAGATAGATACTATTTTCCAGTAATATGTACTTCTTACAAAAACTCATTTGCATAATAGGTGATGATGACTAAAAGCAATGGCGCGCTCCGCCGCGCTCAGCAATAGGCGCATAGTTTGCTGCTGATTTTAGTTGGGCCAGCCCCACGTAATGTCATTGATGGGTAAGGCCTGTGTATGTGTGCTGCCTATTTTTTCTCTTCTTTTACGTGTGTGGGCAGTCAACATGAGTTGGAGACTGATTGGTGGCCAAAATGTGGGCGCTTTCCTACGAATAATTAAACATGGGCACTGATATGGTGCGGGGAATGTAGTCAGAGGTGTAACGTGTGTGGGGCTGCGTGGTGACTGCATGCTGTCCCCAGCAAAGCTGTGTCACACACCCCCATTGCGGCAGCTCAATGACCCAATCCCACAAACCATAGAGGAGAATCACGCTGCCCCGAATGCAAAGAAATGATGTAGAGAAGATATAATGCACAAATTCATACATCCTGATCCACAGCTTGTTGTGCTGGCACAATTTTCCTTCCAGCAGTCGTACCAAAAATGTCCCAAAATGGACGACGATTGTTCTCCATCCTAACATAATAAAAATAATAAAAACCGAAAATCATTTATTTTCACCGTCAAATCACCTATCACAACCATAATGGAATTAGTTACAAGAGAATATCACCTATTTACTGGTTTTTGTGGTGTTAAAACCTCATTAACCATGCTGCCCGTCTTTCCGTGTTCTCCCTCGCCAGCAGGAGGTAACACTCTGCTAATAGTATCAGCCTAGTTAACCATCAAAAACTTCAGCACATGTATCATGGTTGTCTAAAATCGTTATTGTGTCACCCTATGATATTATTGACTATACAATTGGGGTTCATGTTTGCGTGCCTTACTGGAATGGTAGTCAACCATCAAAAACTTTAGAGTCATGGTAGTATTACTGGAATCAACTAAATAACTTCATGTTCATGATACAATTGCAGCATGTGGAAGGATGGACAACGTTTTCAAACAAATAAATCATCCCCAGAACCAGTCAGAAAGGAGCTCAGGAGCCTAAACTACTTCTATTGGAAAACCAAAAGAAATGAGATCTTGTGTTCTCTTCAAAAAGTGCAAGGAACAATGAGTCCTTCATAGCCACCATAGTTGGTGGAATGCTCCTCAACCCTTATGCAGTGAAATACCTCAAGAAATCACTGTGATCACGTTACTTGTATGCAAGACTGACTATTTTCAAATAGGAAAGTACATGTCTACTGCAGATAATTGCGGTAGAAGAAAAATAGTAAAAATACTAAGCTCACCTCCAGATATTCTGCTTTTGTTCGAAAGGAAGCCTCAAGAAATTCTGCTTCCTTCTTCAGTCTTCTGATCATTTCCAGATCGGAACATGCAGCCTTTAGATCCTCCTTACCAGAGTTGGAACTGGAAAGATGCAATTCTTGAAGCAAATTTTCTAACTTAACCAAAGCTTCCTCAACACTTTCAAGTGACTGCAATAATTGAAACTATGATCATCAAGCTTTACCAAGAGATAGCATTATTCAGGGAAGCGTAACTCCCACTTTGCACCAAGTAGATTGCCACGTGTGGCGCACATCACCACTTTTTGCAACAATAAACACAAAACACCATGGTAGAGGGAGTAATATTGCACTTTGCACCACCTCTGGAACACCGCTGCACAGATCATATCACTTCTAACAAGATGAGATTCCATAGAGCCTTTCTTCCCTCCCGTTGAGACCTTGCCCTGCTAAGGCTACTACATGAAAAATAGGATGGGGCAGAACTAGAAGGCAAGCCTTACATGTGGGGCCTTGGCTACTGACAAGTGGTTCACATATGTAGATTCCCTTGGGCGATGAGAAGTAGCAGGGAGGTGGTACATGTTAAGGAGTATTAGTATTGATCTAGGAGTCCGTATTAGGCTATGTGTCCTTCCCTGTACCCCAAGTCTTGTGTAATATTCCCTCCGTCCCAAAATAACTGTCTTAATCTTAGTACAACTTTGTACTAAAGTTAATACAAAGTTAAGACACTTATTTTGGGACGGAGGGAGTATACATTATGCTGCGCATCTTCTCGCACACCGGTCACGCCAGGTAGCCATCCCGATTTGGATCGCCCATCTCCTCCTTGGACTGGGCTGCTACTTCCTTTTCCTGTACTAGCGCTCGTGATGAGGAGCTTGTAGTCCCCAGATTGATGTTCCCTCCTCTCCCCAGGACGGCTGCTGATGTCAACTTCAAGCTCCCGGCTGCCACTGCTGTTCACCAGGAGACGGCCCAGTGCGCCGCTCCTGCTCCCTGCTGGACCTGCTCGCCACTGTTTCCTCTGTCCACTGGACCTGCTAGCTAGCACTGGGCCTTTCTCCACCGTTCGCTAAATCTGCACTCTGTGGTCCTTTAGCCGCCAAAAGGCTCCCCCTATCCAGATCCGTTGGCTGTAAAAAGAAATAGGCACAATGTCGTCATCATCGGGATATGTTTCAATCTCTCGTGTTACCAATGGTGGAGACCATCCTCATCGCCACCGCCTTGGCCTCTTTTTGCATTGAAAATCTGCGCCCATTCTCTTGCCGCCGAGCTTCTTTCACCGCCGGTTTTCTTGGGCTATGATTTTATGCGCAATGCTTCATTCCTTTGATGTGCCATCTTCTTTCGACAACACATCTTCTCTTTGATACTCATCTTGTATCTTCTACTGATGTGGTGTCTTCCTCTGGTGCACCATCTTCTCGTTATTCCTATTGGCTTGACTTGACAGGTTTTAAAGACTCTCCATGCTGACGCGGATTTTGGATTATTATTTTCTTCTAGTGTTACACTTCTTCAAATGAAATGAAATTGCATATGCTTTGCATTTAAGGGTAGTGTGTATTAGTATTCCTATTGGCTTGACTCGACAGGTTTTGAAGACTCTCCATGCTACAACGACTCTCAAGCCGTGGATTTTGGATTATTATTTTCTTCTAGTGTTACACTTCATCAAAGGCAATGCTATTCCATCCGCTTTGCATTTGAGGGGAGTGTTAAGGAGTATTACTATTGGCCTAGGAGTCTGTATTCGGCTATCTGTTCATCCTTGTACCCCAAGTCATGTGTAATATATAGTGTTATGTTATGCTCCAAATTCAAGTATAAAGAGAAAGGCTAACTTCTGACGAGCGAGCGGAGCGAGGCCCGTCGCCGGTAGGCTTGGGCCGAAGCAGAGGTACATCGATGGTCTCAACGATGGTCTCAACGATGCTATTCAAGGTCGATTGATGGTGCAACAAATCTGGTCCATTGATCAAGCACATGCTCTAGCCTTAAAGGCCGACAGGTTTGTGAGGACAAGAAAGACAACTAAGACTACATGTCCTCATGTTGAAGGCTCATCTAGGAGTCACACTAATAGAGTAAAAGAAAAGACTGCTCCATCACAAACACTTGCACGGTTGGCGAATGGCGAGGGTGGCCTCTGGTTGCAAATCATCCGGAACAAATACTTGCACGGCCAACCTATTGCCTTCTGCCTCAAGACAGGGGGCTCCCAGTTCTGGCAGTCAGTCATCTAGCTCCTCCCGGTTCTCCGCATCGGGACCTCCATCACGGTAGGCTCTAGGACAGCCACTCTGTTTTGGTTCGACCGGTGGGCGGGGGACTCCCCCTTCGGTGCCCGGTTCCCAGATCTCTTCTACATTGCGGTGGAACCTAGGATCTCCGTTGAGACGGCCCTTATTGATTTAGGGCGTTTCGTGTTCCGGCGGCCATTTGGGCCCGCGGAAATCGCCGCTTGGCATGAGCTCCTGGAGGCCGTTGCGCATCACGAGCCGGATCTGGCGCATCCTCATGACCGCCTATCCTGGCGCCTTGAGCCCTCGGGCAGATTCTCCACGAAGTCCCTATACCAGGCCATAGCCCCCTCCCTGGGCCCGGCGGCCTTCGAGATAATCTAGGCTATCCGCGTGCCCCTCAAGATCAAGATCTTGTGGCAATGGATCCGCGGCCGGCTTCCCTCCGGCGTGGAGTGTTAAAACAGAATGGCCCGGGCAATGGGATGTGTCCCCTTTGTGGGACTCCAGACACCTCGAATCACATTTTCTTCTCGTGCGTCTCCGCCCAGTTCCTCTGGAGCTGTCTCTGTGAGGTCGCCAGGGGTAGTTGGTGCAACACCAACTTCCTGAACCTCCTCACTGAGATCCAGGCTTCTACCCCGTCAGACCGCCACATTAGGGGGGCTGCTCATTGGGGTCCTTGCTTGGACACTCTGGACTGTGCGTAATAAGCTTGTCATCCAGCGAGTGCCTCTTCGACGTGCCACTGACGCAATATTCAAAATGTGTGGTTATTTGCAGCTCTGGCGGACGCTTAGCCGCCTCCAGGACTGGGACGCCATCAACATCATCATTGCAAACCTTCGCGCGATGGCTCTTCGCTTGGCGCCGCCGCTTCCTCCTCCACCACCTGAGCCAGATTAGCTTATTACCTGCAGTGTAACCGCCTTTGTTTTCGTTTTTAGGGCTTGTTGAGTTGTGCCCTCGGCAGAACCCTCCTGTACTCTATGTCG